GATTATATTGAACAAACTAATTAGTATCAATATAGCAAAAGTGAGCATACACAACGTCAAATTACAGATATGGGTACTTTATCATCCCAACCAAGTAAATTTAGCTCATAACTGGATTTACAAAAACCAGATAATCAACATGTATCATTGTTCAATAAAATTGCAAACTGAAGGAGAATTGGAACACAACAAATGAGAGAAAGGGAGTTTCAGCTGGATTGAGCCTTCAAGCTTACTTTTCTCTCTTGTCCTTCTTCAATGAGCTTCCACAAGCTGAGAATGACTGGGAAAATCTACTCCTCATACTGGTTTTCTTTTTCTCATCTCTGGTACTATTTTTCCCCCTCTGGTCTCTGCTCCTTTAGCTCACTCGGTGCTCTCTGCCTTTTTTTCTTTTTTTCTTTTCTATTTTTTTGTACCTCTTGCCTGCGGCGCTCCACTAGCTAAGAATTAAAGTGTACTTCTCGGGCAACCAAGGACGTTGAGGTGGCACTTAGTGGGTGATTGGGTCCAGCTGACCATCCACAGCAGCATCCTCCTGTGCACTTTATTTTTCTTTCTTCTCTCTGACATGTGCTGATGTCATCCACTACTGTCTGCTGTCATATTTTTTTTTGCTGCATCATTTATCCTCAAAACTTGCAGATCAGAAACAACACCTCTTGGACACACGTTAGCCCCTTTCTTAATCAAGTTTTCTTCATAAACATCACAGAAACATCACACAAATAAATCTCAGCAGAGTGCACCACATGAACCAAAAGTTGAACAAATAAAGCAGAAAATTAACAACTAAGCCTTTGGATGAGCCAACTATAAGCCTAGAAATGCCCAAATTAACTCTAATTCCTAGAGTTATCAAATGTCATCTTCATAGACAATCAAAACTGCAATTCTACCTTCTGCAAAAGTCTTCATAAACAAGGTATGGTCAGCCTGCCCTTGTAAAAATCCTTGAGTCTTTACAAATCTTGCAAATTTGTCGAACCAGGCCCTCGGGGATTGTTTAAGTCCATATAAAGACTTCCTCAACCTGCAACATTTTTTCCCAAAGCTTTCAATAAATCCCGAGGGAGCTTCCACGTACACCTCTTCTAAGTCTCCATTTAGGATGGCATTCTTGACGTCCAGTTAATGTAGAGACCAATCCAGGTTAACTGCAATAGAAAGTAGCACTCTTACAGTACTCAACTTAGCAATTGGTGAAAAGGTTTATGAATAATCAATACCATAAGTTTGGGTAAACCCCTTAGCAACCAATCAAGAATTGTATCTCTTGAGTGACCCATCAGAATTGTACTTCACGGTGAACACCCACTCACACCCAACTGGAATTTTTCCTTCTAGAAGGTCTACTTTCTCCCACGCCATATTCTTCTCAAGAGCTCTCATCTCAAGAACCGCCTCCTTCCATTTAGGAACATTTAGAACCTCCTGTATATGCTTAGGAATAACAACACAAGACAATTTTGAGGTAAAAGCACGAAATGATGGAGATAGACTCTGATATGATAGAAAATTATACAACGGGTGATTAGTACAAGTTCTAGTTCCCTTCCTAAGAGTAATGGGCAAATTTAAAGTTTCATCTGACTCTGCTATAGAAGTTGGTTCAGAAGACAGACTTGATGGGACTTGATTCAGACTAAGACTTAGCTGACTGATCTTCAGCCTTAGGATTTTTCCTCGAGTTAGTTTCTTGACCATGCTCCAAGTTGTCAGTTCTTTTCTATCGTTCTGGATACTTCCTTGAATAGACCATCCCTTTATAACGATGACCACCTTGCCCCGCACACATTTCAATCCCTTCTTGAGTTTGATTTTCCAAGGGCACAGAAGAAGAATCCCTATTTCCTTTATTTGAGACATCACAATTTTTTGAAATAGAATTATGAAATACATCAACACCATTTTCAGTGTTTGCCATAGTCTCAGATTCCCTGTGAATAGTTTCAATTTCCTTATGAACATTGGGCAAAAAATCATCTAACAACCAACCAAAAGTCGAATCTCCCCCCCGAAGATGAGTCAGACTCAAAAAATGGTTTCAAAAATTTTTTTGGGATATTGGATCAAAACATTTGTATCCCTTCTGGGTTGAAGGATAGCCGACAAAGACACTTTTTTTTGCTATAGGATCAAGTTTTTCTCGATTAATATCATGAATATGGACAAATGCAGTAGACCCAAACACTTTAAGTGGGAGATCATGTGAGAGTCGAGAGGAAGGAAAACATATTTTAAAGCAATTCAAAGGGGTTTATTATTTTATAACTTTTGAAGGCATCCTATTGATCAAATATGTAGCTGTAAGAATAGCTTCACCCCATAAGTATTTAGGAACTTTTGTTGAAAACATTAAAGATCTTGCAACTTCTAAAAGATGTTTATTTTTCCTCTATGCTACCCCATTTTGTTGAGGAGTATTATTGCAGGAACTTTGGTGGACAATACCATTTTCAACAAAAAAACTTCCTAAAATCTTATTGAAATATTCTTTGCCATTTTTACTTCTAAAAACTTGAATCTAAGTTTGAAATTGTGTTTGAATCATTTTATAAAAAATTTTAAACACATTTTTAGCATCTGATTTTTCATTAAGTTAAAATACCCATGTAATCCTAGTATGGTCATAAAAAAAAAAATTATGAACCATTTTTTTCTAGTTTTTGTTTTAATTCTTGACGGCCCCCACACATCACTATGAATCATAGTGATGGGTTCTGTGGCCTTATAAGGTTGTGCTGGAAAGGATGTTCGACGATGTTTGGCAATTTCACAAATTTCACATTGAAATGAAGATGGATTTTTATTCATAAAAAGCTTTGGAAACAAATGTCTCATATAATAAAAACTTGGGTTTCCTAATCTAAAATGCCATAACATAATTTCATTCTCACTAAGAATTGAAATAGAATTGAGACAAGCCCTCTAGGATTGCTTGCTCAGAAAGAATTGAAATAGAATTGAGACAAGCCCTCTAGGATTGCCTACTCAAGTCATATCCATCTTCGAAGAAATAGAGATCTCCAACTTGCTTAGCATTGCCAATCATCTTCCCCGTGGTCAAATTCTGAAATTGGCAACCGATGAAGAAAAATTAACCTGACAGTTTTGATCAACTATTAGTTTATTGATTGACAATGGATTACAAGATAACTTGGGAACATGGAGAACATTATGGAGTGTAAAACATGGAGAAATAACAATTGATCCTTTCCCGGCTACTGCTGAGAAAGAACCATCTGCTATTTTCACTCTTTGATTTCCTGCACATGGACTATAGGATGAAAACAGTTGTGATGAACCGGTCATATGATCTGTTGCCCTAGAATCAATTATCCAAGAATCATTTGAATTGAGACTAAAACAGGACGCAACTAGAAGGTTACCTTTCTGAACCAGAGAACAAGAAGGATTTGAGTTAGAGAAATTTTGTGACTGAAGAATTTTACAGATTTGCTCTATCTGTTCCGTTGTGAATGGCTCCGTTCCAAAGGAGATTTTGGGCCCTGATTTAGTCGTATTGGCATGGGAGACACGATAATCTCAAGATGGTTTTTTCTTCCACTTGTTCGACTTTACATGGATTTTCCAACACGTCTCCCGAGTGTGCCATGGTCGTTTATAGTGATCGCACCAAGGCCTTGTTTTGCTATTCCTCCTATCTCCCTCAGCTTCGGTTCCTCTGGACAAGAGCGCTGACCCTTCTTCCTCTGGTTCGGCTTTCCCAATCATCACTTTTCGCCTCATCTCTTCTCTCCTAGTTTCATAGAGAACCTCTCGGATAGAGAGCAGAGGTTTTCTTCCCAATATCCGGCCTCTAACCTCGTCCAATTCTTGGTTCAAACCTGCAAGAAAGACAAACACGGTCGTTTTCTTCTCTTTTTTTGTGTCGAACACTGTGATTCAGACACTCCCAATCATCTTCATAACAAAGATCTAACTCCTGCCATAAGGTCACAAGTTCGTTGTAAAACATGGTAACATTGCAGTCTCCTTGCTTGGCTTTACATAAGTTTGTTTTCAGTTTGAAAATTTGGGAGGAATTTTCGATGTCTGAGTACATCTCACGAACTGTATCCCACACATCTTTGGTTGATAAGAACATGTGCGGCTTTCCAATGACTGGTTCCATTGAATTAATTAGCCAAGTTGTGACTAAGGAATTTTCATACCTCCGTGTCGCCAAATTTGGATCTCCTGCAGCAGGCCTAGTTGTTTCTCCAGTCAAACGGCCGAGCTTCCCTCTCCATCAATCGCCAGTTTTACTGATTGAGCCCATCCAAATAATTTTGGCCATTCAGTCTATGGTTCGTTAATTGGAAGTACATATTCGAACCAAGGAGACTTTCGCCACTGATGGTCGCTCCTCCGCCGCTGGTTGCCGGCGCTGTACTACGTGACTGTGCATCCTCTGCCGGAGTACCACTTGAACCGGTCACTGCTCGCCTATAGTCCATCTAGGGCAGAATTGAAGAATAATTTCTAGGATTTTCTGGTAAGAGCCATGGCTCTGATACCATGTTGGCTTTTAGAGAAAAGAAAAGAAACTTCTTATTTCTCATTATTTTTTCTGAAGGAATTACATAGTATATATAGAAAAAAATAGACTTAATCTTCTCCTTAAAGCAAGCAGAATATCAGTAATTATGGAAAGAAATCCTTAATTATTCTCTAAACATTCCTAGTCCTATTTAGTAAAAATACAGCAATAGGACAGCCAATCATTCCTAATTTACCAACATCATATAATGGTGGGTCCCACTACATTGGGTCTCTCTTATCCATCTAATGAGACCCATCTTATGTGAGTGGTGGGGTTTTATCCCCACTAGTGTGAATAGATAGGAGTGTTTGTTTTTTATTGTCTCTTACTCTTGTTTTGTCTACAACTGTGAGATTACTTTTAAATTACTTTGAATGGTCAAGATATGACGAAGTACTAGTGCCCAATGGTTGAAAGTGAGGGATGGCTATGTATTACTTTATTTTTGCAGTTGATAGACCCAGTTGACAAGACAGTGGAGAGGGACCTTTCTCTTGTTAAAGACTTAGGGCTGAAGCTAATATATGCTATGAACACTCATGTTCATGCTGACCATGTAACAGGCACCGGCTTGATAAAGGTTTTTCATCCTTTACGTTAAAATATAATTTTATATTGTGAATCATAGTGCATTATGTAGTTTGTTTACGGCTTTCAAATGCATAATTCTGATTTGAAGCCATGTGTAAATTTGTGTGTTACAGAGTAAGGTTCCTGGTGTGCAGTCTGTCATTTCAAAGGCCAGCAAATCAAAGGCAGATCTTCTAATTGAAGCTGGTGATAAGATTTATTTTGGTGATTTGTTTTTGGAGGTTGGTTTGCAACTTCTTTTTACTTGTGTGATTTATTTTCTTGCAAGATCAAATTAGGGAAGTGTTTATTTGTTTTCATCAGAGAGATACTAGTGGTTAAGCCTACAAACTTTTCTTATTCTAAAACAAATTGAGAAATGACTTCTAGGAACATTTGAGTTTTAGTGAGAAGATTAGGGCATTAATGCTCATTGACATGCTTGATAAGCATAGGTCGCTATCCTACTTGTTCCTAGCATCTTTGAGTACTGTTTTGGAATAGTTCCCATCCTTTATTTGTAGAGCGATTCCTAAGCACTCTTTACATCAACAAGGTTTAACATCGATCCGTTCTGTGAGACGACATAGTATATAATGCACATGCATCTTTTTGTTGCTTCTATACTCGAGCTTGTTTAACCAAGGCCTTGTTTGGTTCGCCGTTCGGATTGTAAGATTTGGTTTGAATTATGGTGATATGAATTGTGATTCGAACCAGTATTTGGATACGCAAATAAATTGTAATTTGGATTGGGAATAAAATCCGAACTGTGTTTGGATAAAGTGTCGAACTGTGTTTAGATAAAGTGTTGAAAACTATCATTAGAATTTTATAACAAATCAAATCTTATAAAACCTCATTGTAAATGACATAAAAAAATATGTAATATGGATGGGGATTTGCTCCTCTCTTCATTATGAACACATTAGAAAATAATCACCTCAATTGGAATTGAAACAAAAAAGTTATGAAATTTTTAAGCTTAAAGTTGAGGAGAGAGAAAAAGTAAAATCCGAATTGTTTTTACTTTAGAAAATAATTTGGATTGTGAATTTGGGGGGAGGGTCAATTCTAAAATTAAGGGTTTGAACCATTGTTAATTGGTTGAATTGTCCTCATTTAGTTCTCTATCAAACATCAATTTGAACCTTCAACTACAATCCGAATTGAATTTTTTGGTTCGGATTGTTGAAACAAACAGCACACAAGTTTTCCTCTTCTCTCTTTCTAGCCACGACATGTAGTTCTTACATGTAGCATACAGACTAGCTGTACTGCAGGGTTTAAAATACTAAGAGAAGCGTAAATTTTTGTGAAATTTGCAAAACTTAAGGAAGGTCAGTATAGAATTTGCTGTTTCTAATAAACTAGAAGTCCGTTGCAAATAAAACGTATGTTATACCAAATCTTCTGTCTACAGCAAGTTTTTATTATTATTATTTTTATTTTTTTTCCTTCAGTTAGATGATGCATTCCACATCTGTGTGAGGAAAGGACAAAATAGTAGATCCGTGTTGGGAACAGCTTGGGTGTGTATGTTTCTGCATGTGATTGTGTATGTATATAGCTGAGAACAATTTTTTTTTTTTTTTGTCAGGTTCGAGGTACTCCAGGCCACACATTGGGTTGTGTTACCTATGTTACAGGAGATGGTCCCAAACAGCCCCAACAAAGAATGGCTTTCACAGGGGATGCCTTGTTAATACGTGGATGTGGAAGAACTGATTTTCAGGTTTCTCGTCTTTCTACAGTTTGTCATAGAAGTCCTTGTTGTCTTTGGCAATACGCGCCTTTAAGTGGAAGTGCAGTTGCATTTTTGAAGAGGAACTTTGAGCGATTATCGAAGAGCTTCATTTTGTTTCCTTGATCCTCTTGCAGGGTGGTAGTTCACATGAACTCTACAAGTCAGTGCATTCACAGGCAAGGATTTAATTAATGATTTGGAAGTAGCATATTATGCTTCCCCTGGGAGACAAACTTTCAGTACATTTGGCCTTTCATGCTTTGTCCAACCACTACTTCTCATTTTCTATGGATCCAGATTTTTACATTGCCCAAGGATACATTGATTTATCCTGCTCACGATTACAAAGGATTCACTGTATGTAAGGAACCAAATTGTCTCATTTGCTTCTATACTAGATAAATCTTTTTAAGAGATCAGCTAATTCGACATGCTTGAATTTAGGTTAGCACCGTAGGGGAAGAGATGCTCTATAATCCTCGGCTCACAAAAGATGAGGTGATTTGTTGCGTTATAAGCGCTGATCTCTTCTTGTTTATCACAGAAATTTTCACTACTACCATCTGAGTACTACCTCATTCACGTTCTTTTCTCCTCTTGACCACAAACTTCAATCATAGATGTCTAGGATTGACATTAGGCAAGTGCATTTTAACTTATTACTAAAAACGGGCAAGCATCTACTTATTACTTTACCATTTTCTAGATTTCTAGTATTGCAATTACTTTACCATTAAAAGGGATTGATTCTAGATTTCTAGTATTGCAAAGATGTTTATAAAACTCCTTCATGAGACTGAAATATTATAGAGAAAAAGGACGGCAAAAGAAAAAAAAATGCATGTTTTTCTGGATTTATGCGAATAAAGCTTGTTCTTATCTTTTAATTTTATTGGTGTCACTTGTGTACGTCATACTACTTTTGCTTTCTCTGTTGCATTTTTATTACACAATTGTCGGCACGTGTTCTCGCCATTATCTTGCATACTTTTTATCAACCCTTAATAGCTAAAGCGACCTAATTTGGACTTCATTTTGCAGGAGACGTTTAAAAACATCATGGAAAGTAAGTACAGTTCTCTAGCATTCCAAATATCTTATCCTGAGATTTTTATTCCGTATTAGTAAACAAGAAGGATGGGGAATGTCGTGGCACAGACTGAGTTGATGGGCTATTTTTGCTTTAACTATGTGCCCCTCTGTCCGATGGTCATACCAGAGGATGATTCTCAGTGCTTCCTCTAATCTGTGTTTCCTCCCTTTTGCGTCTTGTTGGCTTGTGGCTGTTCAGCTGGGTTATGTGTTTTTCGTTTGCCAAGTTATTGGATGCTTTTTTACCAATATATATATATATATATATATATAGACAAGGTATTCAATCTAGCAGCTACTATTTGCCGGATTGAAACGGCGGAATAACTTGAGCCGTCCAATCCAAGTCAACGGCGTATCTACTGTTGCTGCAAAAAGAGTCTAGGTTCCAGACGTAGCACACTGCTCACTACGTTATTTTTTGTACACGTGTCAAAAATGAGGGGAGAGAGGGGGAATGTTGTCAGGGGACAATAGGCAGCAGTAGCCTCTGGTCCTTATTAAGTAGTATTCTAATACATGCAGTACATGCAGCTGGCCTCAACTGGTCTTGCATATTTAAATTTTTAATTTAAGTTGAGATGTGATATTTTTTGAGAATTTTTTATTATAGCAGAAAAAGTTAGATATGACATTTTCTGAAAATTTTTTACTGTAAAAACTTAGAATTGAAAACTTGAATCGGTGAAATGAAGGAGGCCTATCGATTCGAGTTTAAAATTCGAGTTTTGTTACGGTAAAAAGTTTTCAGAAATAGTCACATAATTTTTTTACTGCAGTAAAAAAACTCACATAAAATTACATCTCAATTTGAATTAAAAGCTCGAATCAACGAACTAAACAAATCATAGTGAAAAGAATATTAAATATAATTAGAAACTTCGTTTGTATGAATTAACATGAGTGGTGTGGGGGATTGACTTAGGAAAATGTAGAAACAATGGGAGACGTCTGTTAACATTTCTCTGAAGTGGCTGAAAAGCATTTGAAAGCATTAAGTGGTGAAGTCAAGGAAACGACAATGTAACATTTTCCAGTATTAGTGTTATGACGTGGTAAGTTATTTGTATAGTCCAGTTGCGATAGTTGTAATATTATTGAAATTTCATGACTCGAAATGCGATTGATTAAAAAAACAAGAAACGTGATTAGTTAAAAACTCCTTATATAGTTAACAGAATATTAAATATAATTAGAAAATTCGGGAGTAAAAATGTAGTAAGAACAGAAGATGTCTGTTAGGTACCTCTTAAATGGGCTGAAAGAGCATTTGAAAGGACACCACAATGTTAGATTTTCAAGTCTAGTGTTGTGATAATTTAAGGTCTCATTCAGTTTTTTTATTTGAGTTTTTAATTAGAGTTTATATGTGATTTTATATGAGAATTTTTAACTGTAGTAGAAACAGTTAAAAATGACTTTTTATGAGAGTTTTTAACTATAATAAAACTGAAATTAAAAATTTAAATCGATAAAATGAACGAGATTTATGTTATTTGTACATTCCACTTGATATGGTCGTAAGGTTATTGAAGTTTCATGGCTGAAAATGTGATTTGAGTAAAAAATTCTTATTTTATTGCATAAAAAATTCTTAAGAGCTTACAGTTTTAGGTGTCGTTCACTTTGCGGATTTGAGTTTTCAATTCGAGTTGAAATGTAATTTTTTGAGAGTTTTTCATTGTAACAGAAAAAATTAGATTTGACATTTTTTAAAAATTTTTTACTGTAGAAACTTAAAATTGAAAATTCGAATGAGTATTATAACTTTTCAAAACACGCAGCCTGCCCCCAAAGTTTCGTGACTTCTGCCGGATCTGGAAGACATTTATTATATATATATATATATATATTTA